CCCAAATGATTCCATATTAAAAAATATTTTATTTAAAACGAAACGTTTAATTAATATATATATATATATTATCATTAAAGTAATATGATATATTTTAATTTTGAGTAGAGAGTATCAATTTTTCAGGGACATAATAATCTAGATACTGTTATGAGATTTATTGTTTGTTGAAGAATAAAAAAAAGTGTTAATTACCTACAAATATACTTTTTTTTTTTTTTTCCTTTGAAAGTAGCATCAATTGCTGAAAATATACAAATTATAGTTATAGAATAAAATTATTCTCTATCGTTCCGGAAAAAAAAAAAGAATAAAATTATTATGTGGTAAGGTCCATCGTTTGAAAGATCATGTCAAGAAATGAAGAACAAACAACTTAATAATTCTCAAATTATATATTCAAGAATGCTTCCACTTTTAGTTGTTGACTCTTAATTGACTAACATAAAAATTGTTTAACTAGGATTGAATTGATTTTTCAAATTTCGGGAGATGATTGTAGTTGCAGGTAAATCGATCGTAATGTAAGTCCATATAAATTACGGAAGCCAAAACTAATAAAACGAACTTGTTCACAAACGACCCGATTTGTTGGAATTAAAGTAAGGATTAACAATTATTATACAAGAACGCCGCCTAAACCTACCTGTGCGTCCAACTTAACTCAACTCGGTACAAGTTAAACATCGAACCAACTTCATGCATAATATATGAACCGACTTCGGTTCTGGGAGATAACCGACTTCTCAAAGATCCTCCTGCAAAACCGACTTATTGAAAACTCCTTCCCGAAGGTTCGACCTGCAAACCGAGGTCCGACATGACCGAATCTCCAAGCAGGTGACAAAGTGACCGTGTAATTGGACCACATGCTATGTATGCAATAATTGTTGCTCCCCGTTGACTGGCAGACCGCCTCAAAAAGCTAACATGCATTAAATGCGATCATATCTAGCTACCTCGTACCAGAAGTCAAACATATTCTACTATAAATAGCAGAATTTATTACTGTACGAGTATCTTTTGACACATTTAATACGTACATACAAAATAAGCTCGGTTTACACACATACCGACTTCTTATACTAAAAAATAATACATAGTTTTCACTTTTTACGGTACATCGTGTTATAGTTGTTAAATTTCGTATATATATCAACAAAACTTTCAAAAAAATATTTCACTCTCCCTCGAAACTCCTTTAGTGAACAATGTTTAACCAACATGTACAAATAAGATTTACACGCTAAGACTTCCTTTTACCTAACATACTATGCTGTAAAATTTATCCAATTTACAGCGAGAGCAAATTGTTGGAGAATCAGTAATATAAAATTGGGTATGACCCAATTTTGACTGATTTGTTGATGGCTAAATATTTAATTCGAATTGAATTAAATTGTGTAGAATAAATTCTACGTTCCGAGTAGAAACTCGTGGTATATTTAATTTCTCAATACTGATTTTCGGTGAGTGAGAAATAAGGGTTAGCCATAAATGGGCACGCAGAACGTTGGTTGTGGGATTCGAATGGTCAAATGTCGTATCCCACATAGAACTCTTAAATGAGAGTAACTCTTTTTATTATGATAAAGAGAGTTGGAGAGGTCACAACAATAACAAAGTTATGTACCAAATGTTAGTATATAAACCGAGTTGGTTTTGTACTCGGGTTTCGGCACAACCCGTATGACATCGTTCTAGGTACATTGAACCTAGACGTGTGACCTTTCAACCCCATAACGGTTTCAATAGTTATGAGGTGGATTAATGGTGATTAAACACTATAATATTGCCCATTTATAAGGTTGATTAATGGTGAGTTAAACTCCATTATGTTGCCCATTTATAAAGGCAATAAAGGTGAATTAATCACCATAATGTAGCCATTATAAGGTGGATTGAATGCCATTAATGGCTAGGATGACCACCAAACTTCTTCCACTTGTGATGGAAGTCCTATAAATAGGACATAGAGTTGTAGAGGAAAGTAGACTGAACAAGACACGGAAAATCTCATATGCATTCTCAACTCTCTCATATCTCATAGCCTCACGCATACATAGTGCTCAGTTCTCGTTTCTATTCCTGTTCGCTGGAACTCTGAATACTGGTGTGCTACAACTTCCGAGTGTATAGTCGTTGTATCTTTGGGGACATTACGCACAGACCCGTCAGCACTATACGGGACGTATTTGTCTTGCGGAAAGATTTCAATCGCCTTGGCTTTAATCTGTCCGCATTCGAGTTGTATTTTACATTTCTTGTTTAGTTCATATTGTACGAATTGAACTCTTCAATCAGTTCATAGGTTCCCGTTGTAATTCAAACACTAGATTGTGTAACACAAATTAAACAGGCAACAATCATCATCTCAATTATTCGGTCTATGCCGGAAGTATGGTGACTCTGATGTTTTGTGCTATCCCTTTTTCTTTTTCTTCTTTAATCAAACAAAGCAGGGCCCTACTTGCAGCCGAGCTCCAATTGGCATGATGACACGTGTCCAACACAAACACCATGCAACTTGATCTCTACAGTTCCTCTCCTATTTAATCCCCTCCCATTTTTCCTCAACAATTACCACAAACAGCTTCCTAATAATTTCCTCGCTGTTTTTTCCAGTTAAATTATCTCCCACAACTTTTCCCCTCTAAAAATGAATTTCTTATCAAGCATGGTCAAAGGCGGCGAACAGCCCAAGCCCACTCCCGATGAGCCCAACAACTCGGACCACAAGCCCGCCTCCAACTCCGACCTCTTCGCCAGCGCCAAGGTCGTCGCCGACGCGGCCCAGGCCCAATTCCGCAACGAGCCTGAGAAACTCGACAAGAATAAAGTCGCCGGCGCCGCTGCAGACCTCCTCGAAGCCGGCTCCGAGTACGGCAAGCTGGACGGGACCCAGGGCGTCGGGAAGTACGTCGACCAGGCCGAGAACAATCTCCGCC